AAGAGAAAGTGAAAAGAAAAAAATAGTAAAGAAAAAGAAAATATAAATAAGTGACTTCCCAACTTTATCATAAGTATAAACAATTTTAGTAACATCACCTTCTCTTAAAATACAACAAATGATCTCTTCCCATACCCTATCTCTTCCCTATAAACCAGGGGTAGTCAACCTTGGCTCTTTTATGACTCATGGACTTCAATTCCCAGAATTCTGAGAATTGAAGTCCACGAGTCATAAAAGAGCCCAGGTTGACTACCCCTGCTATAAACAAATGCATATAGACAGTCCCCAACTTATGACCACAATTGAGCCCCAAATTTATATTATTCAGCAAGACAGTTGTTAAGTGAGTTTAGTCCCTTTCTTACCACAGTTGTTAAGTGAATCACTGTAATTGTTAAGTTAGTAACATAGTTATTAAGTGAAACTGGCTGCTTCATTGACTTTGCTTATCAGAAGGTCGCAAGAGGTGATGATCACATGATCCTGGAACATTGCAACCATCATTGGTATATGTCAGTTGACAAGCAAAGTCAATCGGGAAGTCAGATTTATTTAACAACTGTGCCACTAACTTAACAACTGAAGTTATTCACTTAACAACTGTGACAAGAAAGTTCGTAAAATGGGGCAAAACTCATTTAACAATTGTCTCGTTTAGCATAAATAAAGAAACATAAATTCTTATTTTAAGTTGAGGACTATCTGTATTTGCTCACACCAGATGGAATCTTTCTAGACTAACCTATACTCCTCTCATCCTAATGGATCTTGTGTTTCTGTTCCAGTTCCAAGCTGTTTGCCTCTTGTCTTGCCCTCCTCCTTAGAATGTGTTCTCTTCTTCCTGGGAAATTACCACTTCACTGTACAGACACAGGGCAAATAGAAACAAAAACACATACCTACACAAATCTCCCAGGTTTATAGAATGTGAATGATAAGTGAAAGCCAGCCTCTCTAAGAAAACAATGTCAGTTACTTGGTCTAATCAGGCAAAATGTTCCAGCTATGACATCATATGTCTAGTTAGCAAGTCTTATAATTACCTAATATTGAATTTCTTCCTTAATGCATTTGGTTGAAAAGTGCTGCTTCTATAGTTATTTATATAATGTTGTTACACTGTTATATAAAAAGGATTACTACTAATCCTTGGTTAACAACAGCAATTGGGACTGGAATTGCTGTCGCTAAGTAACAAAGTGGTAAAGCGCAACCTCACATGACCATTTGTGACTGCAGTTCCCGCAGTCTTGGTTGTTGTCATAAAGTGAGGATTGTAAGGATCCTTAATCAAAGACCTCATGTCTTCCAAGACCATGGCTTCCAAATTCCCGATAACTTTCCTGTTGATTTTGCTTAGGACAATCCTGAGACTTCAGGATGCTGTCATGGCTGGAACCCCAAGGACCAGCCATAGATATCACTGGTTCAGCGCTGTTGCAAGTTCAAAATGAATGAGTAGTCCTTAAATGAGAACCACCTGTATATGGAAGAGCTTTTTTGGAAAAAGAAAATTAATTCTACCTATTTAGATATCTTATCATGGAATTAACTTACCAGAGGCTTTCAGAGACACTGTTACATCACACCAAAAACTAGTAGTTACTGTACATCCGTCTTATAGAGCAGTCAGCTGGTTCCTGCTATCTGCACTATTCCTAAATGAATTATCTATTTGGGAACCATTCATTCCAATTAGTTCCTGAAAAATACTTGTATAAAGGTCATTATTCTTGTCAATTTCTACTTTAACTATATAAAAGACTAGGCTTAGAATAATAGGAGAAAGGGGTTATTTTTGCTAAGATGCCAGGATTAATCTGTCAAACTATTTTCCACAATGGCCACTGACCATTCTACTTTAACACTCATTTCATAAAACTTGGTTCCTAAAATGTATGTCAAAATGTAGGTTTTGAGGTCACCGGCCACTGGTAAAGGAGCAACATCTTGAATTCTTTTAGCAAAATATGGAAAGGATAGTGAAATAATGACAGAATCCTCAACAGATGGCCATTGAACCCGTTTAAAAATCTTTAAGGAGTCCACAACCTTTCTAGCAATCTGTTCTATTATGAAAATATTTTCTGGGACTTCCTGCTAATATTTAGTTGTAATCCTTTTTATTTTCATTTTATCCTATAGGTTCAGATTCTATCTTCTGGATTAACACAAAATATTTTCAAATGTTACATCATCTTTTAATTGTATAGTCATTTTAAAGATTAATCACAAGATAGCCAACTATATTTTTTGTCTACTGTATTATCTGAACACAGATCCTATGGTGCAGGGTATTATGTGAACCCACAAAATTAGCCTTAATGCAGTAGAACGTCATTAAGTTTATGTTGAGTGACATGGACAGTTTTCTTTCCTCCAACTATTTTTTCCATCCCTTAAAACTTCTGACTATATTGCAGTTTGTTGGAAATTATGAGTAGATGTGATCCTCCAAGTACTTTGGTCTCATTACTTTTAGGTTGGGTTCATGTATTATGCTAAGCCAAAAAATAATTCATTTGGTTTGGGCTTAGATTGTTGTGATAAATCAAATTAACTGGTCCATCATAGTTTAGTGCAATCCATGAACCAAATCATAGCCTTTATTTGTAAAACTCAGAATTCATCTGAACTTGGAATAATGATAGTATAGATAAAAAAGGTTCAGAGTAATATACACTCAAAAGCAAACACCAGAAACTGCTATGGCATTGTGTTTATACAAGCTGAGCCTTCCAATTTTTTTAAAAATGTAGGGTCATGCATAGCATATGGCAAATCTAATCAATTAGGTAGGGTCAATGCCTGATTTAATTAACATAGATGGGGATATAGGCAGTATACTAGATGAAGCTGAGTAAAAGCCCTCTTAGATACATTTACCACTTAAAAATCTAGGAACAAACTAGGAATGCAATGCAATAACTATGGCCTGTTCTTCAAGAGAGTGCTGTCAATCTAGAGGTTTCTGTTTCTACTCTTCTACTGGTGTTGTATATATTAAAGCATCCTCAACCTTTTGGGCACCAATTCCATGGACAAAGGTTTTTCTGCAGACCGGAGGGGGTGTTGTTTCATGTACTGCCTGCATCCCACGAATGGGGCTTTGCTTGTTTACGTGGACCAGTTTCTGGCATGCTGTGGCCCGGTACTGGTCTACGGACTGGGGGTTGGAGACCCCTGTATTAAAGGATTATGTATTGCCATGCAGATGAGATTTATGTGGAGAAAATTTGTATTTGCTGGTGGATATGTTCCTGCCAGTTCCTAGTGGACAATAGATTTTCCTTGGGAACAACAGGACAGAAGGAAATCATAAATTCTTCCCTCTACTTACCCATGGTAATTATTCTGATTGAAAATATATACCTGTTATTTTGTTACTGTTAAAGGGTTTTTAATTGAATTAAGTTTCAATTATAAATATATATAAACCTCTGTTTATAATCTATAAGAAATTATTGGAGTTATCGAATTTACCATATCATATCTTGGGTTTTAAAATATATAGTTAGGAGCTAAATGAATTTGCTAAATTCTGCTATAAATTCTTATACATGGTGACTTTTTGAGGTACAGGTCTGAATTAAAACATTTTTGTGTGCTATGAATTTAGATGTATAATTCCTTGGCAGGGATAGATGGTATGTGAAGTTATTATTAAAATCATAGATTGCATAATCCATCCTGATTCCTAGAACTGTCCTGGGTGATCCAGGATCTAAGAAAAGGTCTATGGCAACTCACCATGGCCAACTCGCCATGGCCTACTTGGCACAGGCAACTTGTTGCAGCCAACTTGCTGGGGAAAACTCACAATGGCCAACTTATCACAGGGCAACTTGTTTACCGGACAAGAGTTTCACTAATATCGGAGAAATGATGGAATAGAATAATTAAAGAAAGGATGCCAAAGGAGGGGCAAACTGAAATGTGAGTGACAAAATTTAAATAATGTTTTAATTATTTTAAATAATTAAATTGAATTGTTGAATTGTCCCACAGAAAGTTGTCCCATGGAGAGGTGGCCAGGATGAGTAGTCCTGCGCCAAGTTGGCTGTGGCGAGTTGATCCTGACGAGTTGGTTGCAGAGAATTCTGTTAAGGAAAGCTGCAGATTGTACTCTTCTCATTGAGTCTTAAGGTATATTTGTAAGCCACATCTATGCATTAGGCAGGGAAGGGAACTCCTAAAAATCATTACATGAGCACTTGATATTTTTTCCCTCTTAATTGCACTGGGACAGGAACAATAATATATAATTAGGAGATGTATTTTTATTTATATTCCATCTGGTTTTTTTTATAAGTAATGCAAGGAGACGAACATGGCCAATAATGTACTCCTTCCTGCTTCTATTTTCCCACAACAACCATCCTATGAGGTGGGCTGATATTTATTTCAATCTCAGTCTTTAGTTCAGCCTCTGACCATGGAAAAGATGTTCTTCTAAACATGTCCTTTATTTCAAGAACATTTTCACATCATACATTAAATCACAAGCCAGCCAACCACAGTGTAGCTTCTCAGCCGTGAGAGAACTATTAAGTCCTTGCTTCGGTGTACCTTGCAAAAAGGATATTCCAGCCAAACGTTTTATTGCGCGCTCATTCTGCTTCATAAATGGAATAGTTAAGGCTTGCTTTTCAGTCGTACCCCTCCCGTTTCTTAAAGCAGCTTTTAAGCAGGGAAAAAACACGAAACCGTGATAACACAATGCCTTCTGAAACGGCCACACATGTGCGAGCATCCAAAGTTTGGGACGGACTTGTTAAAAAGAAAGCAGGAGGATTCTTCCCAGATGCTGTCTGAAAGCGATAGGGGGCGTGGCTGAGCCCATATAGATGAAAAAAAAAAAAAAACAGCTGGGAAAGAGACGGGCTAGGCTAGGGGAAAGGCTATGGGAGGAGTGCGTGCAGTGCAAAGAGGGTTGGCCGCCTTGGAGATCGCATCATCGGCGCATCAGCGGAAAGGGAAGTCGGAAGGCGTGCACGCCCCCTGCTCGGGCGGGCCCCAAAGCAAGCAAGGGTGGAAGGGAAAGCTTTGAGCTCTGGGTGGCCGATCTGGACCAGTCGGCCTCCCAGTCCAGGTTGCTGGCTGAAGACGCCTAATCTTTTGCTTCATGCAATGCACCGCCTCCCTTAACGCGATGCAACGGGCCGGAGGAGGAGGAGCGGCCGCAGCAGCAGCAGAGCCCGGAGGAGGCAGTGGGAGAGGAGGTGACAACGGCGGTGAGGCGGTTGCAGCAGCTGCGGCCTCTTATCGGGTGCTGAGTCGCTTGCTGGGGTACGGCGGAGCAGAGTCAGCCGCAACCGGCTTGGGGCTGGGCAGAGCTGTTGGAGAGACTGCCGCTATTGCAACTCGGGATCGCGGAAGGGCGAGCGGGTTGAGGGGCTCGCAGCTTCTGGTCTTCCGCCCTGGAGAAACTGGAGAACCTTCGGCAGGGTCCCCAGCCGGTTGTCTGCCGCCGCCGCCGCCGCCACTGCCTCAGCCACCGCCGTCGGAGCTCCTGTGCGCTAGGCATCGGTGCGCTCTCCTGGATGCTCCGAAGGGCGATCCGGGAGGAGGACGATGCTGGAGCGGAACGCCGGGTGGCTTCATTTTCTCTCCGGGAGCCGGCTTGGAGTTACACCTGGCGGCTCTGGGGCTTCATCAGGCGCCTTCGACGGTGATAGGAGGGCTGGGCAAGCCTTCCGGCGATTGCTCCTGCTTGAGCCTCTTGCCTCAGCCGGCGATGGTCCCGCCGCCCACTCTGTCCCTGTTACCCCCAGGGGAGGAGACCAGCGACGCCCTGCTGGTGCTAGAAGCTCTGGGCCCTGACGAGGAAGATGAGGAGGAGACGGCTGCAGGGCAGGCCGAGCCCTCCAGTAACGCCAGTACGGGAAGCAGCCGCGTTCCTTTGCCCGCTGCAGCCCTCCCGGTGTTCGCTGCTGCTGCTGCTGCTGCTCCTTCGGCAGGCCCGGCATCCAACGTTGCTACCCCCCGCCCCAGCTCTTCGGCCCCCTCCAGGAAAGGTTCGTTGAAGATTCGCCTCAGCCGCCTTTTTCGCACCAAGAGCTGCAGTGGGCCATCCTGCAACCCAGGGGCGGCCCCTGGAGCACGCCGGATAGGAGAGAGGGAACTTCTACAAGCCGCTACTGCCCCAGCCCCCTCGGGCACGGCAGGAAGCCTCCCCGATGTGTCTCAACCTGGCTACCGGGAACAGGACTCGAACAGGTGAGGAGACGCTGGGCCGCTGGAATATGGATTAAGGAAGGAGAATTGAACACGCTGGTGTTCCGCTGCATCAATCTGGTAGAGGGCAGATTGAAGGGGGATTAGGGTGGGCAAAGTGGATATGGAAACTGCTGCCTCCTTCAGCCTCCTTCCCTTTGGCCTCTGTTGTGGAATTGTCAAATACTTGGAGAAGTGTTTGATGCCTTTTTTATTATTATTATTATTAAATTCAGTCCTTGTACTCGGAGGATGCACCTCCAGTTCTTTTGGTGTGTAGTCCCAGCTGGCATGGCAAGTCCTCAGTAGTGCAGATATTGAAGAGAAAATATCTCAAGGCTTCCATATTGGCTGTTTTTGTCCAGAGTATGAAATTGAAAGGATCCAGTTGTATTTGTGATTGTGTATTCTCAAGCCTGTTGGAAGGAATTCACTGACCATATTCTACCATTACTTCTCATTGGTGGATATGCCTAGCCTTGTAAATATTGTCCCATTATTCAGTCTTTGGTATCTCAAGTTAAAAAGGTTCAGGTTGCACACAGTGCAGCAAAGGTTTTACTTGGGATCTTGGAGTGTGTTGCTACTAACCAGCGTAAATAACTTTTACAATTTGATTGCCCAGTTGTAAAGAAAAGTAGTAAAACTTTTATTGTTGTTAGTTGCGAAGTGGGGTCTGATCCATTGCCCCCCCATGGACAACGTTCCTCCAGGCCTTCCTGTCCTCTACCATCTTCTGGAGTCCATTTAAGCTCAGGCCTACTGCTTTAGTGACTTACATTAAATTACATAGAAAAAATGAATAGTTATGACTTTGCATCTGAATGCCAGTTTCATTCTTGGTGAATTTTTCTGTTCAATCCTGTCCAATTCTTGGAGACTTACCTGGATAGTTACAGTTTTCTTGGCAAGTGATTTGCCATTGTCTCCTTCCTTGAGCTGAGAGAAAGTAGCTGACCCAAGGTCACCCAGCTGGCTCTGTGCCTAAGGCAGGACTAGAACTCATCCTGTTTCTAGCCAGATGCCTTAACCTTTACACTAAAGTGGTTCTTTGGTTACATGTTCCTTAGTCCTTTGAAAATGGTCTGAGCCACTTTTCCCAACTGTTTTCCCTTGAGCTACCTAATATAAAAAGAAATAGGAACTAAGGTTCCTGTCCCACCTCTGTCTGTACGATTGTGAGTGCAGGGAAAGCTGCAGTGCTGGGGACTTGCTTACTAGAGGACTTTTTCTTGCAAATTGCAGTATGTGTGTGACACAAATCAGGGTGATAAAAATGATGAAATTTATGTCACAGTGCAACTCAAGTCTTGCATCCAGTGTTGGGAATTTGTACATAAATCAGGTGTTTATAACATGCATTTTTTTGTCATTTGTTACCTTCTGCAGATGTCTCTGAAATGACTGGAAGTGGCTTCTTTAATAGAAGGGCCTTTGACAATTTCTAGTAATCGTTGGAAGGATTTGTGATTCTGAGCTTGCTTAAGAAAAGAAATATTCATTCAGAAAAAGTGTTTCTTTCGTCCACAGCTCTGAAATGTCAATAAATTAAGACAACTTATTACTATTTCTATGAGATTTCATATGGATTTTTTCATAGATTGATTTTGCCTGCTGACATAGCATTGGTTAGTTTAATCTGTCCACTTTACAGGTTCACATACCACTTTAAAATATAAACTAACCACAAGCTGTGTTGGTCATTCTGTTTGAGTAAAAGGTAATGGGATAGTTTGTGGTTTAATATTTATATAAATTTGCAAGGAAAAGATACTGAATTTTGTAAAGTGCTGACTAAATTTGCTGGCTCTGGATTAAAATACATGCATAGAGTGATGGCGTTCACTTGGCTTAGTTGTTTCTTTTTTTCAACAAAGTTTTCCATTTTGTTTTTTACAGTATGCTTCTAGATATGTTGGTCTGCCATTCTCTTCATTCACTTCCCTTTTGACACTTATAGTCCTTTAGTTTTGGAAGGAGCCAGGTTGGCAGAGATTGCAATGTGCTACATAAAACTTGCTTTTATTTTGTTTAGCCTTGATTTGATCAAGGTTATGTGCTATTGCTGATTCGAAATAGGGTTTGAATGTGATTTCCCACTTTGGCCAACTAGATTCATAAATTAATGTTCAATTACAAGAATTTGGTTACAGTGGCTGGTTAATTTACATTCAGGTGGATCCTTTATAACTCAGTGTTAAATATATTTTACACGCAGAAGATCTCAGGAATCTCTGATCAGGCACTTGAGCAGTACTGTAGTGCGAGGAAACCAATGACTGTGTCCTTCTTGAAGAATTGTTTCCAGTTACATCAGAAAGCATTGGGAGCAGAGGTCTTGGGTAGCTCCCTTCTACTCCAATCAGCATGGCTAGTATTTGGAGGTGGCAAGAATTATAAGCCAGAACCTCTTAAGAGAACCTCCTTCCTATATTGAAGAAAATGGGGGTTGCTGAGGTTCTTAATTGATTTTGAAGGAACCATATTTCCATTCCTGTGACCTGAGATCTCTTTCAATTCTTGGTTTCAAGAATTGAAACGGACTGGCCCTGGTATAGTCAAGGACACATAAATCTATCACAATATGGATAGGACAAAAGAAATTCCTGATAAATTAATGCTGCAAAAAAAGCTGCTATTTTCTTAATTGTCCTCATTTGTGTTTCAGTGCCCTCAATGACCACATTTATGAACATGCTAAACTACCTGATTACTAAATCTAGCACTTTGCCTGGATTGTGGGTCAAACTAATTAAGATAGTTTACTTATTTCATTCTGCATTGTTATCTGGATCTGTAATTAGGCCTTCTCCTTTCTGGACACAGAAGCAGGAAAGTAAAGCACCTATTCAATGAATCTGCTGCAGCCTCATCTCTTTTTCTTTGATTTCCTTTTTCTGATCTCCCTCCCTCCCCCCCCTCTCTGTGTATGTGTGTGTGTGTGTGTGTGTGTGTGTGTGTGTGTGTGTGTGTGTGTAAAATGAGGATGAGCAGAGGCAAATTGACCCTGGGTGTTGTGCCTTTTTGACATGGATGCATTTCTTCTTTTTTCTTAGACAGCAAAATATTTTGGGATAGCACTTTTGAGTCAGAAGGCTTAATGTTAATAGAAGTTCAAGCACTGCTAAATAAAGAATTAAATTATTATGGAATCATCTATTAATAGAGCCATGCTTCTCTCTGAAATTGGACTTCCAGATTAGCTAAACTGAAAAGTCATGGTTTGGCTTTTTCTTTTCACTCATGGCAGATTTTGGCTGTGTATATACATATTCACTCAGGTCATAGCAAAAATATTTAGTGTTTATACAACATGCTAAGTTTTTTTTATTGTAATTGTTTAGTGTGGGTTAGTCTGTAGTTTAGAATATTTTGTTCTGGCAAACTTAAAAAATGAATTAATTCTTAAAACATGTCTGCAAATCTGTATTGGTAGATACTGTTTTGGTGAAGACAGTTCCATCATGGAATCTTCCTTAGTACCATATATGCCGGCATATAAGACGACTTCCAGAAGCGCTAAACTCGCCGCCAAAGACGGGGGTCGTCTTATACACCGAGTCGTCTTATACGCCGGAAATACTGGTAGTTTCCGGCGTATAAGATGACGTTCTAGGAAGGCGACTCGGCGATAAAGACGGGGGTCGTCTTATACGCCGGGTCGCCTAATATGCTGGCATATACGGGTAATCAAAATTACTAAGGCAAAAGACACTTTGCCAAAATCTTTGTTTTCTAAGAGAATGAACTATTAGGAAAATGAATTTATTTTTCTTTCTAGTTTATTGAGGTGCTGTATCTCAGATGACATGTGAAGAGTGGGCAAGCTGGTACAATATATTTGACTTTATGTTTAATTATGTTAAAAAGTGTGTATGTGTAATAAGTCTGATGTTGTTGGAACATAGTTCCCATCCTCTTTCACTGATGGGAGTTGCATTTCAGCAGTGTGGTGCTACTCATCTGTGATTTAACCTTGGCTTTCTTGACATGGGGGCAGCTTAAAAATATTGTAGACTACAGAGAAAGAAAAAGTAAAGCCACTTTTTAGTAGGTGTGGTCAGTCCTCCCCCCCCCCGTCCTTCCTCTCTCTCTACATTAGAGAGGTTGGTTTTTTTAAAATTGCTCTATAGGTTTTTTCACTTTTTAATTGTTTTCCCCCCTCTTTGGTGATAATAGAAAAATGGAACATAAATTGAAATAATAAATGGATGTCCAAATAATTTATTTTTTCAGAGCTAACCTCCTCCATTCTTTTTATAAGTAAGAGGTAATAAAGTGAAGAGTCTATGGTATAGTTGAATTAGATGTTACTGTGGAGATGAATGAAAATAAAAGAAGAGATGAATGCAAATGTATCTTTATTTATAGACTCTTTTGTCTGTATTTTTGTAGAAAACAAAGATTGATGCGAACACAAAGTGCCTTTTCTCCAGTTGCTTTTGGTCCCCTCTTCACAGGTGAGTGTTGAACCTGAGGCTTCTTTTTCTCTTTCATTATTATTGAAGGAAGCCCTATATTTTTACTCAAGTTTGCATACATAATATGTTGCTATTAGACTTTGAGTAATGCTATTGATTAAAAAAAATAGCTAGTTTTGGAGTGATTCTGACTTTTTAAAACAAAAATATTAAGAAATATCATGAATATATTATATATTTTCTCATCCACAGTCAACAAAGTCTTCTGTAGAATAGCTTTCCCCAACCTGATAATATTCAGGTATTGAATTTCATGTCTGATAATCTGCAGATATCATAGAGCCAGACTGTCCTAGGGTTTTTCTTAAAGAACCTATCCCAGTGTCACAGAAAATTCACAGAATAAATTGAATGAGAGATTGTCTAACTGTTTCAACTTTTCCGAAATGTCAGGTCCATCATAAAATAGAATATTAATAGCTGTTGCTATGTATTGGATTAGGTCTCTCTCCTAGAATACAAAAAAATCCTGTTGCCCAAACTGGGATAGCAATCTCTCTGCCTAACATCTGATTTATATTAAAGCATGTCCTTGTTTTCAGCTGAAGACACAAAAACCTAACTGAAATCAGCTGAGATTACACAGAATCAGTTCGGATTAAAATACATATACCAGTGTCATGAAGAGGTTAGCATTTCCCATAGAATCCCAAATCTACCATAGAATTAGAGCCAAGGAAACATGAAGAAGAAAATGTTTCTAATTTCTAAGTAATATAATAGCAAGCAGGGCATGTCCTGCAGAATTTGTGGTAAAGTCCAACAATTTTAAGGTGAAAATGTTAAAAGCATCTTTTCCTTCTGGACAGATGACATGGTTGGAATCCAGAGAGCATACTATACTTCCAACTCCAAGGACATAATTTGGTTACACAGTTTTGCATAAAGAGCACACATTAACCTTTCCAAGAAAACAATATTTTTTTTTTTAAAAATGTGTCAGATCTCACTATATTTTATTGTTTTCATTCTGAAATGTCACCAGAATTTGATGCATTTAGCTGAAAGCTCACCAGTTGTTGATGTATCGGGGCAATATTGAGACTTGGCTTTGAAATTTGGAAACTATCTGCCTTCTGTCTGTTCCAGTTAGCCATTTAGCTCTGGTTGTTCTTGAATCTTTCTTTCCTTCAGCTTTTGCATATGTCTGGGGACTCAGGGATGGGGAGTGCTTTCAAGGTGCTTGAAGTTTTGTACCTACTAAGTATTTGGGATTGCAGACATAAATCCAGAAGCTGTTCTCAGTATTGGACACATTGCTGTTCCATATGACAGGAGTATCTTTTCTTCAGTGTGAGATAGAATATTATACAAGTGGCCCTTGGTTTACAATCCCAATTGAGCCCAATTTTTTAAAATATATTTTATTTGATTTTTTACAATAGCAATCTTTAGTGCTTGGTAAACAGTGTGTTGTCTTATATTTAAAAAACAATAATAATTAATTTCTATAGTTCCATAATCAATATATTGATTAATGATATATTGCTTTGATCTTCTCTTCTTCCAGTAGTTCTTAATATTTTTGATAGATACAATGTTGGATATAAGTATTTTTCTTGTGTTTGTACAAATAACAGTAACATCAGCATATAACATCTTTTCTGATCAGCGTATGTTTCAATTGTTTTTATAACAGTTATCTTGCTAAGTCACTATATGTCCTGTTTTCAAGATTCTTATTTAAGCTTAATCTCCCCACTGTATTCAAACCATTCTTATCAGTCATAATTTTCTCAAAGTTAATTTAATTTAACCTTTAAATATCCAAACTTTCCATCCACATACACCATCCCAATATTTTTACATTTCATATATTGTAAAAAATATTATACTACTTGTATATCTTGTTCCTCTTACTGTAGAGCCCATTTATATCTCTAGTGTATCTATTCTTTTAACCATATTCAAACAAATGTTTAATCATATAGTATTCCATCTGGTAAATTGAGTCAAATCTCTAGATTCATGAGCCCAAAATTTCTGTTGCTAAGTGAGATATTTGTTAAGTGAATTTTGCCCCATTTTACATCACTTGTTAATGAATCTGGCTTCCCCATTGACTTTGCTTGTCAGAAGGTCACAAAAGATGATTGCATGACCCCAAGTCACTGCAGTCGTCATACATATGAATCAGTTGCCAATCAGTTGTCTAAATTTTGATCACATGACCATGGGGATGTTGCCATGGTCGTAAGTGGGAAAAATGGTTATAACTCACTTTTTTTCAGTGCTGTTTTAACTTCAAATGGTTACTAAGTGAACTATTGTAAGTCAGGGATTATTTCCCCAGCCCAACTTATAAAGGCGTTTTCTTTGTGAGGATTGTCTTTGCTATTTGTGATTATAAACAAAAATCTGCTGGTCAAGGCTGTGTCTTCTTTGCTCCTTAAATCTTTTGAAAATAAGCGGTGGATATTCACACACATATATGAAATCCAAGACTATTCTGTACCTTCAGATACAGATTAAATACTGTTTCAAGTCCAGTATTTGGCCCAGATATTCCCTTAGCAAAACTTGCTTCAGCAAGTTTGAGAGTCAGCTAAATAGTTTAATTATTCATAAGGAAGAGAAATGACCTTAACTTATATAATGGCTTTTGGCTCTAAAAATGGCCCACAAGATAGCTCATAAGACAAAGAATAGTAAAAGATAACAATTTTTACAATCTTTTCAGTATTCAGCTGAATTCAAATCTTCTATTTTCAGTTAAGTTCCTTAAAATGAGGTGACACATGTGACTGTCCAAAGTCATGGCAGGTGAAAGTAGCTTATTTTCCTTTGGAAGAGACTTTCATAGCCATTGTGCTACCACAAAAAGGTTCTGTTTTATATTCTTATTAGGCAATTATTTTGGTTGATATAGAAAGATCTCTGAAAGCTGATCAATTTCTTAATCACTATCATCTGAAATACATAGCTCAGAAAGCAATCTGGTTGCCATTCATTTAACTGATGATAGTTTTGGAACACCTTTCAGGAATAGCCCATGTGTCTTACATTGTAGCAAATTTAATTAGGAATCAACCATGGCATATGCCTGGGGTCAGAGATCGCTCTGTCTGGTTATATTGGACCTGCACTTCTGATATAAACAACAACTCTCAAATGTGCTAGAGATGAAGTTACATTTGCATTAGGCTCCAAAGCATTTTTTTCTTTTTTTCCCCTCTCTTTCCAGGTGAGACAGTATCGCTGGTAGATGTTGATATCTCTCAGCGTGGCCTGACATCCCCACACCCTCCCACACCTCCACCTCCTCCACGACGAAGCCTCAGCCTTCTGGGTACTGCTTGCTTCTTTTTCTGCCTTCTTTCCAAACTGTATTTCCATTAGCATCTTTCTGCAAGAAAGGATGATGGCCATATTCTTCACAATTGAGATAGTACGTTTGAATACAGATAGTCCTCGTTTAGCCACCACAGTTGGGAATGACAACTCAGTCACAGTCACTAAGTAAACTGCAATCGTGCTTATGATCTTACTTCAGCTTTCTTTCACTTGACAAACTTGAGAAAGTTGTAAATAGAAGTTGTAAAGTCATTTTTTCATTACTGTCATAACTTCATATGGTGGCTATATGGTGGCTTAATGGTAGTCCTAAAGAAGGACTACCATTAAGTGGATTTCCTTGGAATTCTTTATACCATACAATCCAATCTTATTTTTTAAAAAAATGGGAATGATTTCAAAGCAGTAATTTTGTATATATTCTCAGTCCTGTAATTATTCTGTTTTCTTTCCTATTCTCAAATCCTAAACTACGCAGTCCACATTCAGAACTAAATTCTTCAACTCTATAAATCACGTGAATTTGCATGTTTTCCATAACTCTGTTTCTGCTAGCCATGGCGTGAAGGACACTAAGAGCTCTTTTGCTTCCCTTTCTGAATGTTTGGCTCAGTACTTCCTTCAGTTTCTCAGATTCTGTCCAACTTTTTCTATGTCTTTTTTTAATCCTATGTGGACAGTAAGAAGGTCTATTCATTTATGTCTTATGCTGGTTAATACTGCAATAAAATTATGTAAAGTGAATTATTTGTAATCTTGTGCTTCCGCCTTTAACAGTTCTGAGCATTTGAAGCTACCCAGGGAACATTATTTACTTATATTGGACTAGACAATATTTTATAACTAGAGGAATCAATAAAATTTGGTTTGCCTAGAGATGCATCACAATTATAGAAGCAGTAGGACTGGAATTAGTGATTTTTTAAAAAAATATTTAATGTGATAGGCTTTTTAATTAATTAATGAATATATATTATAAAGCCTACCACATTAAATATTTTTTTAAAACTCAGTAATTCCAATCCTACTGCTTCTATATATATATATATGATCCAGAATGTTGATAGATGTAAGATGAGGCAGCCCTGACAATATTTCTTTTTGAATGTGGCATTTAACATAATAATCGCCAGCTAGATATGAATAACTTCCACAAGTTTGTCTATGTACCTATTTTTATTGATATAGCCAGCAAAGATGGATGTTCAGATGCTCAGAGAAAGAGAGCCCAGCATAAGCCTGTCTTTGACTCTGTTGCTTTTCATATCTCCTGGACCGCTTAACTTTTTTGGTTCTTTTTCTAGACGATATCAGTGGGACACTGCCTGCATCTGTCTTAGTGAATCCGATGGGGTCTTCGTCGCTCCAGTCTTTTCCTCTGCCTCCACCGCCTCCACCACATGCCTCTGGTCAGTTCAGCTTTGCTTCTAAAGTTTTCCTGAATTTCCATGGTAAATGTTGCCAGTTGCTGGGCTTTTAAACTGAATTGCTGAATTTGGGGACTCAAGACAGCATTCAGGGAACAGGGCACATGAAATAATTCCATGAAATGTCAAAATGAATCCATTTTCTTTTCTTCTCCAGAGGCATTTCCCCGGATACTCCCAATCAGAGCATCTGAAGCAGTACATAGTCAGTCTGCACAGCACCTTCAGTGCCCCCTTTATCGGCCTGATTCAAGCAGTTTTGCAGCTAGCTTACGAGAGTTGGAAAAAGTAAGACTTTTATTTATTTATTCATTCAGTAAAGGTCCTTAAGCTGCTTTTCTTTTTTCTGATGATGCTTGATCTCTTTGAAAACAAAGAAGTAAAGTCAAGAGGACTGACAGCCAAATGGATTTGCAGGATATGCGCTACTGGTATGCAAGATGAAAACTTGTTTGAATGGATAAGCTACACATAGCCCTGTTGTTTTGCTGTTTATTTGGCTGTGTCAGTTATTTGTACAGTGTCAGTTTGCATATTCAATATAAATAAAGGGGAGAACACATCAGGCAATGTTGGATCAATGAATCTTGCTTTATTTAAAAAAAGCTATTCTGAAAAACAATGCTGTGTTTCAAAATGTCAAAGATGATTGTTAATTTTTTGTCATCTGGAAGGAAAGGGGCAGATGTTAGTCTTCTGGCTCAAAGTGAGGGATTGCAGTTGCCACGCTGGCTTGAAATTCTGGCAGGTCAACTGCAGGTAACAGTTTGGATAATTAGGCTATATTTTAGCATTCTGAGCATCTGGAATTGGTTCTTTAAAAAAATATGCTCCAATGTTTGAATTTTCTTTTAAATGTTGGAATCGGATTCTTAGATAAATTATTGAATGAATATTTTCGTAAATCAGTGTGGATGGTACTGGGGCCCTATGAACTGGGAAGATGCCGAGATGAAGTTAAAGGGGAAGCCAGATGGATCGTTCCTGGTTCGTGACAGCTCTGATCCTCGCTACATTCTGAGCCTCAGCTTTCGATCACAGGGTATTACCCATCACACTAGAATGGAGCACTACCGAGGTGAGTGGAGCACTGGGCACCTTAGGGTGACTTCCTACTCAGTTCGAACGGGAAGGATTTGCCTAGGTTCACTTAATGAATTATTGTGGAATGTGATTTTCAAACCTGGATCTCTCAATGCCAGTATTGTGTGTCTTATGGTTATATTTTATTTAAGTAAGCTTGTGCAAAGCCAGTCTCCACAAACTGTGCACGTCCCCCCTTATACTTCCTCATTCTGTAATGGACCTGTTCTTCTTGGCTCAGGAACTTTTAGTCTTTGGTGCCATCCGAAGTTTGAGGACCGTTGCCAGTCTGTGGTGGAGTTTATTAAACGTGCTATCATGCATTCCAAAAATGGAAAGTTCCTTTATTTCCTGCGATCAAGAGTGCCAGGTAAGTGTGTTTTTGTGTGTGTGTATGTATTTGTGTGTGTGCGCGTGTGTCTTTGTGTGTATTAGAGGCGACTCGGGTAGCTCTTAGATATTCTTTTGTTGTGGTATTTATTAACCAAGATATAGAATGAGCAGCAATTATTTTTAGCTTTTGTTGGCAAAAACATATATTCCCCCAAACAATAAAGCTATTCTGAAATATCCAACAGGAATTGGACAGAATGCTCTGACTTCCAGAATAAATTATTCCAGGCAATAGTTGAGTGTATGGAATCGGATTGTAAAATGCTTCAGATATACTTGAAGATCTGGTTTATCCTATTCCTGAAGCCATTCTAACATTGCCATACATGCATTTCCATTAGACATTTTTAACTGGCCTGCTGGTTAAAATAATTTGGGAATGTGGAGTTGTACAGTAATTCTTCTTCACTTGCTTCAAAGGCTGAAATATAAGCGAAGGATGAAGCATTTTTGGCCCTTCACTTTTGGCTTACAGCTTTCATTTATCAGCTACATTTCACTTGAGTGGAAATTCTCTCAAATAGCAGTGAATTAATCTACAACCTTTGACATAGAAATTATATGTGATTCATTGACCCAAAACTTGTTCTTCCAATTCATCTATAAAAATTGACATCGTACACAGGTCATATTATTCAGTTAGAGAAAGATGCACTGAATAAGCACGTTTCACAATTGTAAAGAACTTGAATGTACAAGGGGAAATGAGCAAAATTCAAATGCCCTGAATCCCAATATTTTTTATACACATAAATCCTTAACTTAAAACAGCTCATTTAATGAAGTTAAAACGGCACGGAAAAAAGCGACTTTTTCACGCTTATGACTGTTGCAACATACTCTTGGTCACGTGATATACATTTGGATGCTTGACGATTGGTTCATATTTATGACAGTGACAGTGTGTCCCAGGGTCATGTGGCCATCTTTTGCAACCTTCTGATAAGCAAAATCAATGAGGAAGCCAGATTCACTTAACAAACATGTTACTAATTTAACAGGTGTAGTGATTCTCTTAACAAATGTTGCAAGAAAGGTCGTAAAATGGGATAAAACTCACTAACAAATTTCTCACAGCAACATAAATTCTGTGGTTGTACATCAAGGACTACCTGTACTTAAAAACAACAACAACAAAAATAATAATGCTACAGGAAGCTCTCAGTGCTGAGAGTCACTTGTTGGGATGACGGGGGGGAGGGGGGGAATATACAAATTGAAGAAATAAGACTCAAGTAACTCATATTCAAATCTTACATCTCTCTCCCAACCATAGGGCATAATGGATTTAGAACCACTTTTTTTCAGTGGGAGAAGCGCTTTTACCTTGTCTGGTTTCCAGCCTTTTGATTTTGGCCTTGTTTTTTCTAGCACTCGATAAGTATGGTACATCCCAACATAAGACTGTACGGAGCCAGGTCTCCACCAGAGGGCAGCACAATGATCAATTCAGAGAACAGCTGATTCTAGCATTTGCTATTTTCTCTTATCCTGAGAAAAATATTTCTCAATTGATGCTGTTATATTTTCTTCTAACCTGATGTCTGCCTAATTTTTTTTTTTTTTAATTTACAGGTCTCCCTCCAACTCCTGTCCAACTTCTCTATCCGGTCTCTAGGTTCAGCAATGTCAAGTCGCTACAGCACCTCTGCCGGTTCCAGATAAGGCAACTGGTCCGCATTGATCACATTGCAGAGCTCCCACTTCCCAAGTAGGTCCCCCTTTTGCTTTGTGCTCCTTTCAGCTCTGGTTGGTTAAAGAATCAGATTTGTTGCTTTGTCCAACTCATGATAAAATTAGTAGTGTCGGTCAGTTTGGCACAACATAAAAAAATACAATAGCTGTTTCTCTATATTAATGGAGAGGTTGTAGGATGGTGGATACATAGAACAAAGGTCTTCAAAAATCCTGTTCAGGTGTTGGAACAAACTGTTTTGACCTTGCTGTTTGGAAGTTGTTTCACTGTGAAACATTGTTAGAAATTTCACACCAAGGTTGAAACAGCTTCAGAAAGATTATGACAACCAGTTAAATGGGAGAAAGAGAGATGATAAGTTTCTTGGGGAAAGGGAACCAGGAACTAAAGAGGTCTACATCTGTATATGCTGCAAGCATCAAAAAGTTAAGGTATCTTTATTAAAAAAATGTTTATTTCCTTTAAAATCTTTGAGCATAATTTTGCAAGCTCTCATGTTAGAATGTAGAATGCAGTTGATCTTGGCCATTTTTATACACTCAAACATCCCTGCACAAAGTTTTGTTAGATGAAGATCTGTAGAGATAGGAGTGCTGCAAACTCAATTTTTCTGGACTCCCTAATTAAAAGAGAGAGAGAGAGATTCATCAGTCTATTTACTTGGTATGTTTATTCTGATTTCTTGGATCTCCAAAATTTACTGGAATCTCCTTTCCCTTCCTTGATCAGGCCTCTGATTGCATACATTCGCAAGTTCTACTACTATGACCCTCAAGAGGAAGTGTATCTCTCGCTGAAGGAGGCCCAGCTGTTTTCCAAACAGAAACAAGAAGCAGATTCCTCTACGTAGTGAGAGTTCTTGTCTGTCATGCTGCTGTCACTGATGGTAATACCGTGTTTCCCCAAAAATAAGACCCAACTGGAAAATAAGCCCTAGCATGATTTTTCAGGATGTTTGTAATATAAGCCCCACCCCAAAAATAAACCCCAGTTAAAATCGTCAGCCAGACGGACACATTTAGTACCGTATTTCCCCCAAAATAAGACCTAGATGGAAAATAAGCCCTAATGTGTCTTTTGAAGCAAAAATTAATATAGGACCCGGTTTTATTTTCGGGGAAACACGGGGTATAACATTGTAAATTAGAAGATTCCCGTTTTCTCTTTTCTCTCTCTCTCTCTCTCTCTCTCTCTCTCTCTCTCTCTCTCTCTCTCTCAACCTTAAGGGGTTTTAGTTTGATTGTTCTTTCATATCCTGTATTGGAAGCTTTGCATATAGTCTATATTTAAAAAACAACAAAAAAACCCAATGGTTTCATCTGTGCAGTTAAGCGCAGTTGTATACATAGGTAGCCCTCGACTTAACAACAGACTTCATAATTTCCCATGCTAAGCAAGGCAGTTGTTAAGTGAGTCCTGCCTGATTTTACAACAGCAACTGTGGTCAGTTGTTAAGCAAATCACTGCAGTTGTTAAGGGAATTCCAGCTTCCTGTTGATTTCATTTGTTGGGAAGCCGGCTGGGAAGTTTGCAAATAGTGACCCTATGACCCCCGGGGTCCTTCAGTCATTGTAAATACATGCTGATTGCCAAGTGCTTAAATTTCGATCTTGTGACTGTGAGGATACAGCAAAAGTTATAAGTGTGAGGACTTGGTGGTAAGTTACTTTTTTTTGAATGCTGTTGTATCTTGGCACAGTCACTAAATGAATGATTGTTAGTCGAGGACATCCTATATTTGCTCATTTTCCATTATGGAAGCCTAGTCCCTAGTCTACCAAATGTTTTTCCTGAATCGGTATAATGCAAGCTTCCCTTGTTAACTTTGGATATGTTGACAGGCTTACAATTATAAGAGCTAGAATGTGCATTTTGGATTTTAAAGCAAAGTGAATGTTAGAGTTCAAAACCAGTCCGCATGTACCTAATTATAAGCACACAGCATATCTAGCATTTTAGTTCAATCTTGGATATGCAGAAAGAAAGACATGCTACATTTTTGTCCTTAACAATGTCTACACACTTTGGGGGGAGGGGGGGAGGTTTCACCTCCCACCCATCTTTCTATTTCCCATCTCCAAATTAGGAAATGGGTCACCAGTATCCTGTAGCTGGGGAAGCTGCACTGGAAAAGACTCCTGGTGTTTCCTTTCTGGCTGTCTTGGGCCTCCGGAAAAGAGTCCCGGGCTTGAACAGAAGCACAACTGTGCACAGAAATGGGCACCCCTGACCCCACCTGGTTCCAAAAAAGAAGTTGGAATCCACTGAAGCTGGACTGTAGGCTCCTTAAAGGATGAAGAATGTTATTTTTCTTGTCAAATTTCTATTTTTGGGGTGCTTTTCTTTTCTATCCATATTTTCCAACATGGGAAATTATGAGCCAGTTTAACGTTTTGTTTACCTTTTGGCATTTGGGGATGTGGGGGGTGAGATTGCCACTGTCTCCAAGATATTATGAGCAAAACCTGCTCCCGGTTCCTGTGTCTTTAAGAATGCTGCTTTTGTAAGAAAGGTCTGAACTCAAGCTGCATTTGGCGGTATAAAATAGTTGTTTGGGAAGTTGAGCTTTTCTTTACTTGGAGGTATGTCAGCTGAAGCTGGACACCTGTCTCTCGCGGGATAGCATTGTGGGTCCTGTACTAAGTTGGATTTCATATATTCTCCCAGTTCCATTCCAGCTTTGGAATTCTGGGAGGCCAGAATGTGAGTGGTTGGGACAGGGAGACGAAGAATAGCAAGCTGAAATATAACTTCTTGCTCACGTAAAAAAAAAAGCTGGATAGCATCTTGGGGGGGTAGGGAGGATGGGAAGGTGCCCGAATATGTTTGATTAAGCAATGGAAAATTAGCCAGATTGGGAAAAATTGCTTTCGCCTTCTGTTTGAATGCAAATGGGACACGGGTAGCAATGTGGAAGGTTTCCACTGCAGGGGCCATCAGCCATTTGAAAATGGACAGATCTCTCCCACTTATTTTATTTTGCTTTTCTTCCCATTATTATTATTAACACTGGAATTCATCAGAGCTGTTAGAGCTGTTGTAAAAGCACTGGCGTATCCCTGTTAGGCAGAAATGACTAGCTGAAGTCGGTCCCGGTCTTACAGATGGGGTTACAACCCATTGCCCTTCTCAAGAATGGAAAGCCAAGATAGCAATAGCAGTTAGGCGTAGATGAGTCAGCAAAAAAGTTATGGCTTATCAAACAAAAAAAGGGGAAAAAAGAAAGGCCTCTGGGACCTTTTTAACATGAGGCAGTAAATTTTGAAACACCTCAGTCTTATCTTACGTTGAGGTTGGGATGAAAAGTCAAGAGCAGAAATTCAAGATCCTCACATTTTCCCTAAGCCCAGAAAATCACATTTTGTAAGGAAGAATTGTGTGCAGTTTCAAAGTTCATTTTGAAGAGCAAGATTTGCCCCAGCAAAACTCAAACCGTCTCTCCATTATTGAGAAGTATTTGCAACATCCACAAAATACATAGCCCTCTTTATACGTGATAAGTCTTTTTCATAGGTCCTTTAAGGTACTTAGTGTAAATTTCTTGCTGACATTTTTGAAAGCAGTGGTAACTTAATAATTTATTATAATTTATTTATTGTTGTTAGGTTGAAAAGCTTGTTTCATATTCTTGAATTAATTTGTCTTGGATTCAGCCTCTATTCCCTGAAATCTGAAATTCTGCATCCTGCAAAACTTAAAAATATCTTTAGAATCTTTATACACAGGAAGTTTAAAATGGATGGCTAATAAGTTGTTATTTAAAACTAAGTCTTGGAAAAAAGCATGGTTGTATCTGTTAAACAGATTTTAGAGGAAGCTACATCTCTCTTCCTCCCATTAGAGGAATGTTCCCATTAGAACATTTATGCTTTAAGAAAGATTCCAGAATTTGTTTCTGATGATTATTTATGCAGCACTTCTTCCCTTTATCCCCTCAGTTGTTCTTTTTCTGATTCTGTTCTGAACCCTTTCTTAATTGATGCTACGTTTACTGAATGTCATCCACTGAGCTGCATCCTATACCCAAAGAAGCTTTGTTTCTTGTTGCCCAATTTTTAAGTTTATGAAATATGTCAATTGAAGAGGCCCTGGTCCATTGGAGTGCTTTCCTGAATATTCATTGCCTCCCAATAGGCTCCCACAGGAGTTGTGATACTAGAGGTGAACTTGCAAAGTTTTTGGGTCTATCTTATATTAATAGAATAAGCTGCATTCTTGAAGCTCCTTCTGATACACTGGAAGAAAACGTATTCCTCTTCTTCCTTCTGCCACAATTTTAGAACCCATGGGTATACAGTTAGTCCTCGACTTACAACAATTCATTTAGTGACCATTCAAAGTTACAATAGTAACTGAAAAAAAATGTGACCGTTTTTCACACTTACAACCTTTGTAGTATCCTCATGATCATATGATCAAAATTCAGATGCTTGGCAACTGACTCATACTTAGAACTGTTGCTGGGTCCCAAGGTCATGTTACTACCTTTTGCAACCTTTTGGCAAGCAAAATCAATGGGGAAGCCAGATTCACTTAACATCAATATTACTAAGTTATCAACTGTGATGATCCACTTAACAGCTGTGGCACGAAAGGTCATAAAATGGGGCAAAATTCACTTAACAAATGTCTCATCAAAAGAAACATTGGGCTCAGTTGTGGTTGTAAGTCAAGGACTACTTGTAGTGATTTTGGGACTAGATCAAATAAGCATCAAAGAAAAGCATACTTGAAAAGTCTTGTTACTTGAACTTTAAAAATTCCAGATGGTCTTGAGTCTTAAACCAGGAAGACAGCCTTTCATTCTCCCAAAAGTCTCTTCCTGGGTGAACATTTTCAAATGCAATGATAAACTGCAAATGTAACAATATACTGAAAATTTATATGAATTCTCATGCCTTAGAATATATGACTGCAAGAGAGTGTTTAAAAGTGCTGGATTTTAGTTGTGATAAAACAAGCAAAAGAGAGTCAAGATTTTGCTGCAGCCCACATAAAACTTTCTGGCTCTTTGGATAAGAGATAAGCTATGTCCATTTTTATATGAGGGCAACTCAGAAATAAACCTTTGTTTGGTTATCAATGACAGACACTCGCAGGCACAGAACGTTTATTCTATATATTAGAAAACTACAACATTGCATTACTTTTTGACATAATCGCCATTCAAATTGAGGTATTTGTCATGATGTCCTACAAGGTTTGAAATTCCTTAGTAGTAGTTGCTTGGCGCCAAATCTGGGCTATAGGGGAGGCTAATCAAGAACATCCCAACAGAATTGCTTCAGAAGTTCTTGGGTGCATCTAGTGATGTGTGGATAAGCATTATCGTGAACCATAGAAAATCATGCCAAACGTGAAGATGCCAAAGTAGTACTGCTAGTGAAGTTCATAGAGCATCATTCGACCATCAATTCAGACATCTACTCTGAAATGTTACGAAAATTCAGACGAGTCATCCATAACGAGCGTCGGGGCATGCTGACTTCCCGTGTGGTGTTGGTTCATGATAATGCTCACCCACACACCGCTAGATGCACCCAAGAACTTTTGAAGCAGTTCTGTTGGGATGTTTTTGATCACCCCCCTATAGCCCAGATTTGGCACCGAGTGACTACTACTAAGGAATTTCAAACCTTGTAAGACGTCATGACAAGTGCCTCAATTTGAATGGCGATTATGTTGAAAAGTAATGTAATGTTGTAGTTTCTTAATATGTATAATAAAAGTTCGGTATCTGCAAGTGTTTGTCATTGATAACCAAATGAAGGTTTATTTCCAAATTGCTCTCGTAGCTTAATCCTCATTCATTGCAAACATAATTTCTCTCTTGCTTAAAATGACAAATTTACTGATATGTGGTGGAGAGACTTGGAGATTTGTTAGGTTTTTCCTCATGTATGGTTCAGGTAAGAGCTGAGATCAAAAGTCCCAAAGTCTGCACTTGCTTTGATGGTGGGGAACTGTTTCTTAAAATCTGGTTCAGACACACACAAACCATGTGCCGGTGACGGGAGCTCACTTTTTGTTGCTGACTATCTGCCATTTTGTTGAACTGAACTTCTCTGAGATTGTGTTACTGACTACTGAGTAGCAAAGGCCATTCATGTGTAAATAACTCCTGGAGGGTCATTTTGGCCATGTTTGGCCATTGCTATATCCATGTTAGGTCTGGTATAATGTTTTTCTGTGAAAAAAAAATTCTTTGTCTCTTTTTTTAAAATCCTCCCTTGTGAAAGCTATTTGAACTCATTCTGTTTGAAAAGTGTGAATGACTGGATGAATGTTAATAACAAGAGAATTAAATCCTGCACTGTAGTCTTTGGGTTATCTGCCTTTGAACCTTTGCTTGGGCATTTTCTGATGTAACATGTGATACTACATCAGTACAATGGTCATACAAAAGATGATAGAGGGATTACTAACAAAGAACGAATTGGTGATATTTGAAATCATACCTAGTTTTATGGATTTTTTCTTAAATATGTTATTTTCAAATGGGAGCTAAGGCTTTCTCAACAAATTATCTTCCTTGGGAAAAGGACAATTATTCTTTGAAGAGTTTCTTTCTCTGTCCTTTCCTTTTTTTTTCCTTCTTTTTCAAATTGTGGCACAAATAATATTCCTTTTCTGAAAAGTGATAAAAAATAAAGTAATTCAAGTTGCCTTCATTCTTTAAATTTTACATTACCAAAGGAGTTTTTTAAAAGGGGTTCACAGATCTTTGCATCATGCAGAGTGAAAATAAATTGGGTGAGAAATGCAGTCTTTTGTATGAATAAGAATGCACAATGCAAAAGTAGTTAAATATGGAGCTTGAAATATTTCTGTTCTTCAAAAGTGCTTCTTGATTTTTGTCCCTTTAAAATAGCCTTGTTAGAACTCTTTCTGTTTTGTTTCCTGGATGGGAAGGTGAAAGAATGGTGAATGACCTGCTGAACAGTACACTGGTTCATACCTTGCACTAAGCCATGTTTTGTTTAAATGTATACTTCGATGACCAAGCCATAACTGGCTTCATTCATGCATTATGCCAAGCCATAAACCAGGGCTGATAAATATTGACTTTTTCCCCCTAAGGTGCTAAGCTGAAATGGAAAGAATCCACATTATGGCTTAGTATTAGGGGTGATCTCTGTTTATAAATCTGTGGTGGATTCAACCATAGATGATAGTTCAGCTCTCAACTGCCCTCCATACAATGGTGGGGTTCAGCCTGTTTGCACCAGTTCAGCAGAACCAATAGCTAATTTTTTGTTGCCCAGGCCCAGGATGGACTTCTGGAAGCAGCATCCACATAGAGAATCAGTTGTTCACACATTTGAATCCCATCACTGTCTCCATATTATGTTTCTGGCCAATGAAATAATTTTCTCTCCTTACTGAAATGAAGTAAGGGCCTACTTGTGGGAGTTAGATTACAAGATATATGAAATTGTTAGTATTTTTTTGTGCAGACTTCAAACTGCAACTGCTTTTATTCAGCTTCACAACTGCAAGTTTTAATTTGTATTCCGTTCATTGTTATTTACCTGTTTATATAAACAGCTGTTATGGTTTATTAAATATTTATATGATGATTGGAATACACTAAGAACCAGACTGGAATACACTAAGAACCAGGCTGATAACTTGATTAGATAACTCCATTTGGAAGTGATTCAAGACCTAAATTAGCCTTCCCTGATTGGATAAGCTTGAGGAGATCATTCCATTTTAAATTATTCCATTTGAGAATGATAGTAATCTCTTAGGAGACACCAGATTAGAGAAGACTGATCTAGTAAAAAAAAATGGAGTAGAGATATTGCAGATTCACTAATATAACTTCTGTGTCATCCATTCTATTTGGGGACAGTAAACATTATGCAAATAGTTTCTGGGCTCTGGATATTAGAGTACATTTTAGTTAATAAGTGTGTATGACACCAGTGATGGAATTCAAATATGTGAACAACCGGTTCTCTGTGTGAATGCTGCTTCCGGAAGTCTATTCTGGGTCTGGGCAACAAAAAATTAGCTACCGGTTCTGCCGAAGTGGTGCGAACCGGCTGAATCCCACCACTGTATGACACTCATACATGTTGTAGCAATGTCAGTTACAGGGACCAATCCTTACGTCTTTTCTATAACCTAAAATAAAAGTGTGCATAAAACTGCCAACATAAATCAGTGAGCTGATTTAAAACATAAAACGTAATGTGTATACCTCAGCAACAACACAC